TGATTTTTGTGTTGCAGCTAAAGAAATCACAAGAGCAATTAATGCTATCAGCCGGCTTCGGGAAGACAAAGAGTTCTGAATCGAACAGATACAGACAACAGTTAGTTCAAAACAAATTCCACACAGATTCCTTCTCAATCTAGGATTACACCCAACATTTAGATAATGTTTACACTTGGCTCCAAAAGGAATACTTCAAACTGGACTAGTTCTGTTTATAAGAAGATATTACTAGTAAGAAGATACTGAGTCAGTGTGAGGAAAGCATTTGGACCATTTGCCCAAAACAAATTTGAAATGTCCATAAATAATGCTGTTTTGAACTCTCAACACAAATGACAAAAAATATACAATTGTGGAAAAACATGGTGACATTCTCCAAAACCTTACAGCAATTAAAAATCAAAAGCGATTAAAAATTTCAATTCAAATATGAGTTTAACTTGAAATCGGAAGTGATTTTTTTTTTTAATTTTAAAAGTGGAAGGGCAATTAGGGAAAAGGTTCAAATGAAGAAACAGGGGAAATAAGAGAGCCAGAAACTGACGAGACGCTCCAGCAAGAAACAGACAACCTCAGATATAAAACCTGAGCTATGGCCTCAAGGTTAAAGGCAGAAGAAAGTCAGGGTCTTTGTGGGCAATTCAAGAAACACCCTGTGAAGCCAGGCCTTGGGGAGCTAAGCAAGGATGTCTCTCACAAATGCAATCCCCAAAGTGAGTCCCTGCAAAAATCCTTGAAGATCTTGAGGCAATAAAAGTGAGGGGTCGGCTGGGCGCGGTGGCTCACACCTGTAATCCTAGCACTCTGGGAGGCCGAGGCAGGGGTGGATGGCTCAAGGTGAGGAGTTCGAAACCAGCCTGCCTGAGCAAGAGCGAGACCCCCCGTCTCTACTAAAAATAGAAAGAAATTAATTGGCCAACTAATATACATAGAAAAAATGAGCCGGGCATGGTGGCGCATGCCTGTAGTCCCAGCTACTCGGAAGGCTGAGGCAGGAGGATCACTTGAGCCCAGGAGTTTGAGGTTGCTGTGAGCTAGGCTGATGCCACGGCACTCACTCTAGCCTGGGCAACAGTGAGACTTTGTCTCAAAAAAAAAAAAAAGTGAGGGGTCTTTCAGTAAAGGAGACTATGTGGAATTCTGTGTGAATCCCACAAAATGAGACATATCTCTGCACTCTTGGAGTGTATTGCAGCAAAGTGGTGCCCAGTGTTTGCTGAGACTGGGAGAAGTAAGGGGGCCATACTTACCTCATGGGTCTCGTGGGCACCCACCCCTCTGACTGCCTACTCTGCCTTTTTCTGATAAAGCTCCCAGATTCCTCTTTCTAGAACCAGCCTTTTGCCCTCTCAGTCCATTGTTTCCAGTATGGCTTTTCCTATTCACTGGCTCCAGGGATGAGCATGTTGCTCAGGAAGACCAGTGCATTTTTGCCTGGTGCTATTTAAAGAAAGATATTTTTCTCTGGAGGTTGCTCAGCTGGTAGAAGGAAAACCTAGAACTACTAGTGACCATCTTTTTCCCCAGAAGGTATGAGCTTGTCTGAGAATAAAGCCCACACAGGAGAACTGAAAAATGGAGAGACATTCCTGACAGCCTCTTTTTAAGTAGCTGGATCAAGCCATACCTGAAATCCTTCTGTGACTTTTCAAATAAGTGAGCCAATTTTGTTTTTCACTCAAGCCAGCCTGAATGGGATTTCTATAACTAACAGTCAGAAGAATTTTAGTACATTGACATTTGGTACACTATGTTTTTCCATTCATTCGATAAAATTCACTGAGTCCTTGCTATGTGCTAAGCACTGTGCTGAAAACTGATGACATAAAGCTAAAAAAGAGCTGTTTCAAAGGAAGCTTCCCAATAGAAGAGATACTTGAACTAATAGTCACAGTACAGTGTGATAATCACTATAATGACAGTTTGTAGGGGGAGTTAAGTCTATACCTAACTATGCCCAGTGGTGGAAGATGTCATGATAAGTTTCATGGAGGAGGTAATGTCTGAGTAGGGGGATATTTTTTGAGTAGGAATAAGAAAAGAAAAATTCCTACATAGTGTAACAAGAATTTGAAAAATCCAGAAGTGGGACAGAGAAGATTGATGACAATGGGAGTGGCAAGGTTGGCAGTGGGAAGGGACGCGCCAATGGGTCCCACTGGGCTGGAACCCTCTGACCCACCCTGGCCTGACTCATCATTTTCTCAGTACCCCAACTTTTTGTGTGCTTCATCATTGAGACTTGCCCCCTATACTGCAATGCAAGCCCCACTTCAACCCCACCATGGGCAGAGCCACCGCACAAAGCAGGGGCAAAGTAGTAGTATATTTGCCCCCCGTTCTGCTTGTGCCATGCCGGAACCTGCCCCCAAATGAATACATAAATAGTGAAACCAGGGTGTTCACAATCTATGTTCAACAAACACAAGAGAAAGAAATTCATGATAGACTAAAGGAGAAAAGTACCCAACTGGCGCCTTGGCGGTACACGCATGAATCCCACTGACGCATGGTCATTGGGGACATTTGCCCCATCCGTGCACTCCCAGCGAGCCTTTCTGCATCAGGCCCTCTTGTTCTGGCCTTCGGGTGCCCTGAGGTCTGGGAGGCAGGGTCATCCTGAGGTGTAGCCAGGGCCTTAACTATTGGCAAGTTGATCACAAATCCTTTTGGAGACTTCCAGTTCCACATGTTCCAGCAAACCAATATCTCATTCTCTCCCTACCTCTTTTCCTCTTCCATGCATGCCTCTTTCTGGTGCCAATTCCAAACAGTATCAGCACCTGAAAGAATGAGGCAGACACTTTTCTCACCAGGGTCTGGGCTGATGCATAAATGCTATCCCCTCCCTTTCCCTTTAAGCCTGGGGTCAGAGTGGACCAATGGTATTTACAGTATTCTTAGTTCTGAGTTGGCAGGGTTACTGGGACATGAAGTCCTAGAAACCTCTGGTGGAATCTGGGACGGCTGATTGTCTAAAATTATCTTGTAATTAATAAATTATTCACTGTTCTCTGTTAAGTGGGTAGTCACCACCACATTCTAACACTATTTAAAACAGTTAAGCCTCTTGTTCAGGGAGAGTTCTGGCTCTCCAAGTTTCTCAAAGCTCTTTCCTTTATTACAAAATGAATCTATTAATAAATCCTTTAAGAAAATTCTGTGCCAATTTCAAAATAAATGCAGAACATCAGAAACTGCCTTATCCATTCCCCCAAATAGAATTGAATCTATCTCTATGTTCTGTGTGCAGTTGAGCCCTTCTCAATTCAGCCTTATTTGTATTCCTCCTTTGAGTATCAACCCCTGAAGAACAGGATGAGGGCTTTTTAAACTTCTTTTCTTTTTTTCTATTTATTTATTTACTTATTTATTTATTTTGAGAAGGGGCCTCACTCAGTCATCTGGGCTAGAGTGCAGTGGTGTCATCATAGCTCACTGCAACCCAAAACTCCTGAGCTCAAGTGATCCTCCTGCCTTAGCCTCCCAAGGAGCTGGGACTACAGATGCACACCACCATGCCTGGCTAATTTTTTCTATTTTCAGTAGATACAGGGTCTCGCTCTTGCTTAAGCTGGTCTTGAACACCTGAGCTCAAGCAACCCAACCCCCTCTACCTAACCCAACCCCCTCTACCTCCCAGAGGGCTAGGATTTACAGAGGTTTTTTTTTTTTTTTATCCTCCCTGCACTCCAGACAGGCTTGAGCTTCCTGCCTGTCTACCCAATCCCTGGCATTTTTAACTTTGGCTCCTTTGGATTTTTGATTGCCTTGTTTTGCCATCTTGTGGCTCATCTTGCACCCTAAGTGTTGCATGTCTGCCTGACCTCTTTCCTGCTGTCACCATACTCTTTGGACATATGTTGAACCCCTCAGACTGACCCTCTCCTCTGGGGCTCCCCTGCCCTTCCTGGCATGGCCCTGGGCCCTCCTAGCCAGAGGTCTCATTCCAGGTATCTGGTCATACCCATGGAGCTCAGTAAATAGAGATGAACTGAATTGTATTGCTTGGTGTCTCTCTTAATTATTGGGTAATTCAGGGCAAATTCGATTATTTTTGCAAAACTGAAATCTTGTACCCTCTTCCTCAATGATGATCTTATTCCAATCATACCCTAAAGGAGGACTGTGCATCTATTATATGCCAGGCATTGTAGGGCACTTCCCCTAACCTGGACATTGGAGTTGCTCTTTAAATTATGTGTGCATCTCTACTTGATTCGGATCCTTTAGCCGTGCTTGTATAAGGTTTTGCTTTGGAGCTTTATGATAAATTGCTTGATAAAATAAATTCATAAAATTTGTTCTGGCATAGGAGTAGATGAACCAAGATAATTATGTTTAATTGGTAGATAACTAGTCTTTTCATTGTCTATTAACACAATTACATGGTACATTTGTAGGAGGCCAGAAGAAGGACCCATAAGTAGATTAATATAATCGGGGGCTGAAGACACATTAATCTATTTAGAAATTAAAGTTTACCATTAACTAAATGCTTCGTTGGTATTCATGCTATGTTGTTTAACAGGTAGTGCTTGGGTAGCTGAATCCGACAAGGAACTGTTTGTCTCCTGAATTCCAGGAAGTCAGACACTGAGGGGGAGGAGGGCTTGTGCATGTTTAGGGGGTTTACAGGTACCAATGACGAGTAACTGGATGTTCGGAGGATGTGCTCGCTCAGATAACTCCAAATCCCTGCCTGCATGCGGTGGGTCCCTCTGGAGTCTGCTCTGGCTCTCTCGTGGGGATGTTGGTCTCGCTGTCAGCAGACATCGCTGGGAGTTTCATGCCTTGCACGAGCAGAGTTCGGAGGTTTGGCTGTCATCCCTGGTGAGGCTCGAGGGAGAGTTCTTCCAGTGCCTGAGCTGCAGGCCTTGCTTGCTTTTATTAGAACTGCAAGAGAGGGAAGTTTTCAGTGACTTACGTAGGGGGCTCCTTTTCCATTAGCTTTCAAAGGAGAGGCTGTGATAACAAAGTTGCATGCTTTCTTCCAGGTGAGTTCCAGCAAATTGGCGCAGGAAAGGGAGACACAAACACGCTGGCCCTCCCTGGGCAAGAATGGCACCACCTCCCGGGCACCGCCTCCTCCTGCTCTGCGCCCTGGGCACCTTTGCGCTCAACCGCCTCACGAGAGGTCAGAAGAATAGCACACTCATCTTCACGAGGGAAGACACCATTCGGAACTGCAGCTGCTCTGCTGACATCCGGGACTGCGACTACAGCCTGGCCAACCTGATGTGCAGCTGCAAAACCGTCCTGCCCCTTCCCGTCGAGCAAGCCAGCTACCACGGCCACCTGACCATCTGGTTCACAGACGCGTCTGCGCTGGGCCGCCTGTTGAACTTCACGCGGGTGCAGGACCTGAAGCTTTCCCTGTGCAGCGCCAACACTCTCCCCACTGAATACCTGGCTATCTGTGGTCTCAAGAGGCTTCGCGTCACCACGGAGGCCAGGCGCCCCTTCCCGGAGCAGAGCTTACTCGTCCACAGAGGTGCCGACGGCCACTCCAAAGAGAAGCCCGTGTTGTTGCACAAAGACTGGCAAACATGCATGTACATCTCGTTCTTAGACACGGCTCTTTTCAACAGGGACTCGTCCCTAAGATCGTATAGCATTGAAAACGTGGCCAGCATTGCCAACAACTTTCCCGACTTCTCTTACTTTAAAACCTTCCCAATGCCAAGCAACAAAAGCTATGTTGTTACGTTTATTTACTAACATTGTGACTGTGTCCAGCTCCAGGGAACTTTGGCAAACCACTGATAACTCGAAGAAGGAATCTGGAAAGAAGGCCATGAGATAGGTGTCCCTGTACGGCCACACGTTCCTCCCTGGGCCCCATTCCCAGCAGAGCCGCACACATAAATAACCACCTCCCTCTGCTCTGCTCTGTGCTCAACTGTGTGAACTCTTTTGAAAAGAGAAAAGAAACCAAAGAAACCAACTCCATTCAGTCCAGAGATACGCGTCTTGGGAGCGAGCTGGAGGCTAGGTCTCTGCAGCTGGAAGTCTGCAGAGAAATGTCACAGCAGACGTGGAGAAAGCAATGCACCCAGGGACTGCTTAGTGGAGCTCAACAGAAACCCCTAAGAAAGGTATCTTCTTTCAAAATACTGCCTTAAATTTTTTCTGCTTCATTTTGTGGCATTGCTTGGAATTCCCCTAAGTAGAAATTAATAGATTTCAGAGGTTTTGAGACTGTGAATTTTAGAAGCTGATTAGATTCTCTTGAACTGATATTTTCCGAATACCTTGCTAAGAACAGATGCATTGAGAAATGGGAGTTTTGAGACTGTGTGTGTTATAGGGGAGGGAAAACAGGTATGGGTAGGGTAGGAGCTTAGGACCAAATGAGGACACCAGGGTTCTGAAGAAGGGGATGCAGAAATAAACGTGCCACTTGGGAGGCCAAGATGACAGGATCGCTTGAGGCCAGGAGTTTAAGACCCCCACTAGGGAACATAGTGAGACCCTGTCTCTACAAAAAAATTTAAAAATTAGCTGGGGGTGGTGGCATGCACCTGTAGTCCTAGCTACTTAGGAGGCTGAGGCAGGAGGATTGCTTGAGACCAGGAGTTGGAGGCTGTAGTGAGTTTTGATCATACTACTGCAGTCTAGACTGGGTGACCCCCATCTCTAAAAACAAAAAGAAAAAGGAAGAAAGAAAAATGAAAATAGGAGGACACAAAAAACCATTACGTGTAGCTCAAAATTTTGCTTAGAGCCAGGCCTAACCCTAGGGAAAGTTCTTATGCTCTAGCCTTTCGCTTTCCTTTTCCTCTCTTTGTTTGAGACTTTTACCTTTGTCCTCACTCTACCATTTCCCCTATTTCTCCTCTCATTTTCCTCATCCCTCTCTTCTTCCTTCTCCTCTTGCTCCAGAAATCAGAACTTAGATGAGTATCATTAGAACTGTATTTAACTACATTAGGGGCTAGCCTGGGAATCTAATAACCACTTATAACATTATTCCTATGGGTAAAAATGCTCAAATTACAAGTAGATAATTAAAAGAACTTTTAGGGCTCAGTCCATTTGGAAGTTTAAGCCTGTAAAGTTAAGATACTTTACACAACATGGTTAACACAGAATGGTTTCATGTGTATTTATAAAACGAACCAAATCAACATATTTTTAAAAAATCAAATCATTTTATTTTCTTTGTATAATCATCATTGTACAAAGAAAATTTTCCCTCACCATTAAAGTGGAGTATAAAGAAGAATTCATGGCAATTGTGGTGCAAATGTCTAAAGTTAGAGTGCAATGAAGTTGAAACATCATTGCAATCATGATACCATGATGATAAGAAATTGTTTGATTATGAAATAACAGGATGTTCTGGAGTTAATGACTTCAGATCACATTCATCACATTTTTTTTTCTCTTACCCTTATCTAAGGTAACTAATATAACCTGAAATTTGCTGCATTTGCTTAATTGGTGGGGGATTTGGCCATTCAGGCTAATTAGCATGAGTCCATAATGTCAGTGTTTAAATTAGGCCAAAGGGAAGACCAAAGTATGAATTTTAATAGAAAAAATTTAGTGACCTATAGCTCAGATAATTAAAAGAAATAGAAAAAAAAAAAAATTTAGTGACCTCATTACTGCATTGTACCTCAGAGGTAACATTAAAGTGACAGAAAAAGATAAAGAAGGTGAAAAGAGGAGGAGAAAGGAAGGCAAGAAAGACATAAGTGAAAAGATCAGTAATATATTTATTGTCATTAGTTGCTGAAAATGTCATGCATTGAATTTTACCATTCAAAATAAAATTTATTTTTATTAATAAAGTATAAAATTAAATGATGTTAGAAATTATGTGCAGCCTATAAACGTCTTTCTTTGGATAGCTTTTAACAGTTTCAAAGCCCTTTCACATATGTTTTTTGTAGAGACAGGGTCTGACTATGTTGCCCAGGCTGCTCTTGAACTCCTGGCCTCAAATGATCCTCCCAACTCAGCCTCCTGAAGTGCTAGGATTATAGGCGTGAGCCACCATGCTCGACTTTAAATGATTCTTTGGAAAAATAATTGTGGGTCAGTGGGACTTGAACCAGTAGAAAAAGGAAAACAATTAGTTATAAATCCAGCCTAAGGTTTTCAGATTTCTGGACTGAAAATGTGGTTTAGGTTGTGTTTTTATGGGATAAACAAAGGGTAGAGAAGATCCACAGCACAGACATGGGGACAGATGGCATTTCCCACTCAGGCACAGAGTTGTGGGGATCCCAGGGGGAGGTGGGATGGTGGCAAAATGAGGGTCACACGCCACTTGAAGGTCCACAGTGGCTCGGTTCCAGCTGAGTGTTGCCACAGAAGAATACAACGGGGCCAGGTCTGACCCTTCGAGAGAATTAGGAATTTCAGGCTTTTATGTGAAGTCTCATAATTTATAAAAGTTGGCCTGCCATTAAGCTTTTTTCTTTGTTTGTTTAAAATAACATGAATTAAAACAAACTATGCCAGTGGTACTAATCTGGCCTGGGCTAGCAGTTTTGTCACCTCTGGCCAAAAAGATTAACCCTTAACTCTCAAAAAAAAAAAAAAAAACCCACAAAATTCTGCAGATATATATGTACATGGTTTATTGTAAATTTTACTTATGTAAAGGATGTGTAGCATACAATTTACAAATGATAATAAAACATGTTAGTCTTCATTGCAATTAATTCGCAAAGAACGCTTTAGTTGATTTTTGCCAAACTCTTGTATTCAAAGCCAACCCTAGGGTTGTTGCAGCTAATGAGCAATATAGCTTTGGCGTGAATGCTGGTTGATATTCTCATTTGCATTAGGATTAAGAGGAAAGTTAAACAACAAAGATATATGCGAGAAGGTCACATGTTAATCATGTAAGCAACATTTTTGGTAAATTAAATAATAGTTTTCAAATACTAGAGAAATGTTTCCTCAATGTGGGGAACTATTCATAAAGTAAGGACTATGGACGTGACATACTTTTAAGTTGAATCTGCACTGTTAACATTTTCTCCATCACATTCAAGAAAATCATAAATCAAACTGATTTGTAGTGTTTTCCAATGTCAGCAGTGTAAATACTGCCACCATACCAACTTCATGCTACCAAGAGAACACAGAGTTGAGGAAAGGTACACAAAAGGCCAGCACTACATAGCACTTCCACCCTGTAGATACACTAGGCACAAACAATCTCAAGGGCACGAATAAGAGTAAAATAATTAGTATGTTTCAAATATTTATTATTTTTGGTTTTGATATCATTTATTTAATTGTAAGTTTATATAATTTACTTTTTAATAATGACTGGACTTAAAAACCAGCCTGCAAGATTCCTGAAAATTTACTGATCAGCTCCCATGAGCCGGGGCAAGTCCATACCAACACCCCCTGCTGACTTAGGAGAAAGAAACGCTGAAGGAACTGAGTGAAGATGGCGAGTTTAAAGTGTGAAGGATCGCTTGCAGGATTGAAATGCCCAACTGAATCACATGCCAGAACTAGAGGTGGGAATTTTAGGAGTTTGCACTCACTCTCCATGCAGTAGCCCGCTCCTCCATGGGGCTTAGGACCCTGAAGCCCCCAAGATGGGAGATGGTGGGGTTGGGAATTTAAGGCCTTATGAAAAAAATGAATTAGGCATTAAAACTCATGAATGAACCTATGAAAGCCCCTCCAAAAGGAAGGAAGGAACAAAGCAATGAAGAAAAGATATGAGTAATATTTTATGCACATTAAATTAGCAAAAATGGGAATGAGACCATCCACTTCCATTGCTCAAACTTGCTCACTAATAATTTGAGGACCTTCCTTTCTTCAGAATTTACAGGACACTTGTAAATCTGATGTGATTTGTTACAGGGATAATGATATGCAGAGACTTTTTTGTTTTATGCATTTTAAGTTTAACAGAGTCCCAACTCAGAATGATGTATAAAGTCCTGTTTATCCAGCCTAGACTCTAGAAAATGAATGAGAGAGAGAGCAGGCTTTGCAGAGAGTACATGTCTCATCAAGCTAGTCATAAGCCAGTTTAAATAGTACAGGCACCATACATAGATAAATAAATAAAGCAGGAAGGGTAGCTCAAAGATCCTAAATTTTGGCCAGGCGCGGTGGCTCACGCCTGTAATCCTAACACTTTGGGAGGCCAAGGCGGAGGCGAATCGCTCAAGGTCAGGAGTTCGAAACCAGCCTGAGCAAGAGTGAGACCCTCTACTAAAAATAGAAAGAAATTAATTGGCCAACTAAAAAAAAAATATATATGTATATATATAAATTAGCCGGGCATGGTGGTGCATGCCTATAATCCCAGCTACTCTCTTTCGGCCAGTGAGTCTGCTGCCGAAAGGGGTTATCCGCTGGAATAACCCAAAACTTTGTTCCTGAGGGGTCTGAGCCCTTGGCAGTCCTGCCCTGGTTGGATTGCCAGAGTCTTCCATTGAAATTTTCCTCTACACATGGAAATACCAGGAACTGCCCCCCAAAATGAAGGGTTTTGAGAAGAGAGGAGGTTATATAATAATCATCTTATGGTATAGAAAGTAAACTTAACAAGAAAACAAATTATGAATACTGGATAGATAAATTTGTCAAAATCCCTCATGTGTGTGATCTCTTTATTGCCATATGTTTAGACATTTTAAAGCCTTTACCATTATTTTATTGGGGTGACGTGAGAAAATTGATTTTTTAAATGGCTATTCCCACATTTTTAACCCTGACTTAAAAATCTTTCCTGCTGCTTATTTGTTTATTGATCTGTTAAGAGCCATTAGGGGCCGGGTGTGGTGGCTCATGCCTGTAATCCTAGCACCCTGGGAGGCTGAGGC